CCCCAAAACCCCAAAACCCCAAAACCCCAAGAAAGTAAATTGTGGATATTTTGAGTCAATTGAATAAAGAATTATTTGGCTCAATTATTAGATAGATATAAAATGATGAAATCTTAGAATACTTCTACTATTTAGAATAAAGATGGAGAAATAATAGATAAGCAGACTAAAATAACAGGCTAGGTAAGTGGAGCAAAATGGACCGAAGTTCTACCTTATTTTGTTGGAACTGCCCTTATTTTATCTATGTATTACATGCAAGAGAAATACAACAACATATTCTTTGGAGTATGGATAATATATGCTGTTGTTCCAATTCTAGATCATATTGTCCCTCACGACAATTATAATCTTCCTGAAAAAGAAATCAGAAATTATGAGAAAGATTCAAGATTTTTGATACCTCTTTATACTGCCTGGGCTGCTGACTTCTTATTATACTTCTGGGGATTCTATCTAATTGTTCAAGATAAGTATCCAACCTCTCCAGGACTATTTTTAGCTTTAACTTTTGGAATTGCAAATGCTGGAGCCTTGAATCTTTCAATTGGTCATGAGCTCGTCCATAGAAGAGAGCTAGTCCACAAAATTCTTGGTAATCTTGTCTATTCAAAGATGCTCTATTCTCACTTCATTATCTAGCACATAAAATCACATCACAAAAAGGTAGCTACATTTGAAGACCCTTCATCAGCCCGCAAAGGAGAGTCTATATGGGACTTTTTATTCAGAACTGTTCCTGAAGGCTTTGTTGAGACTTGGGAACTAGAAAAGAATAGACTCTAGCAAGAAGGTAAAAGTACTTATTCTTATGAAAACAAATTCCTGTTTTGGAACATTCTACATATCCTATATGTAGTAGCTGTATATAAATTTTTCGGAGTCTTCGGTGTTGTTTATCAAATAGTTTACTCAATCTTCGATATCATTTTCTTTGAGACTATTAACTATGTCGAGCATTACGGACTTTAAAGGAAGCTTGATTCTAATGGAAACTACGAATCAATTAAGATAACTCATTCTTGGAATGCTCCTCAAGCTGTTACCAACTATTTCCTCTTCAAGCTTCAAAGACACTCTGATCATCATGCTCATTCATATAAGCCATATTAGATACTCGAAAGCTTACCAGAAAGTCCTTGCCTTCCATTTGGATATTCAGCTACCTTCTTAATGGCTTACGTCCCATTTGTTTGGTTCAAGGTAATGGATCCTTATGTTGACTCAATCAACAAGAACGAAAAGATGAGTGAAGAGGTCGAAACCGAGCTTAAGAGATGGTGCAAAGGATTATTAATTGTAATTTCCATTTTAGTCACATACATTACATTCTTTGTGATCGGATTCACTCCAAACTATTGATCCTATTAAGAACAGAAAAGGTAGAATTAATAACACAATGACTTAAGAAATTAAAAAATTAATTCATGATTATTAATTCATCATCACTCATACTTAATCTTTAATTTCATTACTTAATTAAACCAAATCCTATTTTTATCTTACTCAGGAAAACTTATACTATAGCATATTTTCATACTCTTACAACTGCGCTAAATACTTCTAATACAAACTGCATTATTCAGTAATTTTGTCATTTTCTCCAAAGGACTTTATCAGATTTCCGTTGAGTTAGCCGCCGCATTTTCTTATATTGTTCAAAGCAGAGTCTTAATTTAAATTTTGCGCAATGTTTGACAATATTTCTAAGATTTTTTCATGATATCTCCTCTCAAGAATAAGACAATTATCTTGCTCCCCCTATGCTTACTTTAAAGTAATGATAATCTTTTCTTTGTGTTAGAGAATAAGTTTGAGGAAGGAAGTTATTTTTTCATAATACTTTGATGATTGCTCTAAATCAGTATAAACATGAATAGAATAATTATACAGCATTAATGAGATAATAAGAGATCTGAATACTTTGTGATAGATTATAAATTTTCATATTCTAACGAATCTTTATGATACTAGTTCTGTAGATCCATTATTTCTTTGAGTACAGCTATGAACTACAATTGATTCTCGTTCTCTTGCACATCTAAATTCTTGCTCATATTTTCATTAGAACTAGTGATTATATTCTGCAATAATTATTATCATCTAACTCATGATGCTTACTTTGTATGTTTCATTCTAAGAGTTAAAAAGTTGTTTCTAAAATTCCAAGAATTACGATATTCCTCCTACATCAGTATAGTATTTCTACTCGTCTAAACCCCAGGGATTGCTTGGAACTGTTGATACCATTATTTAAATTTCAAATATTATCTTAAATTTAATTAGAAAACTCTTAAACATTTATTCATAATATTGAGAATAGGGGTTTTGGGGTTTTGGGGTTTTGGGG